AAATTATTAGCACACTTTTGTGTAATTCTACTTTTCCATTATTCTGAGCTTTGATGAAAACCTGAAATCAGCAGTTTCTACTGTCCATACTCCTATTATAAAAAATTTAATATGACACTCTGTACTCCACATAAATCTGATATATTTGCTCTAGAATTGTCTTCATCTCTTTCTGCTACTTCCCTTGACTGTATTCCTCAGAGACCATCCACATCATGAACAGTCAATGAAAAGTTCTGTGCTGATTTCATTCTTTGTTGAACTTCTCTTCCCATTATTCACTCTCATCACTGCCCTTCTGTAATATTCAGACTCTTGGCTTGGATTTTATCACTTAGAATTTCTATGATTCAGTAAAACTTCAGGAAAAACTGATAACTTCATTGATCATGTCACAAAATATTAATAGAAACTGGTGTCCATTTCCTGTTTACTGTGTGCCAAATAGTGTTCTAATCATATGAGGTAGAACTTACTGATCATAATCATATGGATTGCAGACTCCCATAGGGTGAAAAACAGATTCACAGAAGAGCTAACCAGTTTTCCAACTTACCTATCAAGGAAATGCCAAGATGGCACTCAGATCAAGAAAATATATTCACAGAATCTGGACTCTTAAAATACAGAGGTAATAGTATCATGATGTATAAGACTAAGACATAGACTAAGGCTGTCTATGAAAATTGGAATAGTATAACAATTCTTGAACCACAATAAGAATTTCAAAGTTTAACAGAATTCTTCTAGCAGCTGAAGTATACTGAATATTTAAATTCAGTGTCCAGAATGGAAATGTTTGGGGACCATTTTGCAAGGAGCATCATTTAATGAAATACATCTACTTGCTTCTTGGGATCAGTTTTTGGTGTTGAGTGAGTTCTCCTACCCCAATACCATGTGCTGTTGAGACTTAGTAAAACAGCTCCCATGCATCTAATGGGACTCAGAGATCCAGGTATGTCTGGCTTTGATCAGCTTACTTATACAGCCTTACATAAGGTATAATATGGAAGAGATATGATATGGAAGAGAGAGATCCTCAAATTCTGATATTTCTATACTTCATGATTCTTGCAAATTTCCCAACCAAACCTGAGAGAGATACTCTTATGATCTCTTTGGAGATATATCAGTGTAACTTTTATATTATTTAGAGGTTTAGAAATTATCATAACACAGTGAAATAATCATGGAAACCTTTACCCATTTAATGGTCATTCTCAAAATAAAGATACTCATAGAACAAAATCATCAGCTGGGAGTTTAATACACTGCCTCACAACAGAAGTCATTTAGGATGTCCACTTCATTCCAAAAAAGTAAGAGGAAATAAATAAAAGGAAATTTTTCTTTCCTCTACTACATGTATTGTAAAGGAGATTCAGCATCTCTAAGTGTCAACAATCACAGTTTTGTACCTGAGGAAAATGTATGGATTTTCTTGAAAGACCATTCTCTGCCTATAGTATGGACCTCAAACTTCACATACTGAGATGGACATTTTCCCCTTATATTTGTGTTACATTAGAAGGCTGTGGAAAGGTTTTATTATTATTATCATTATTAAGAAATTTTCTATTCACTTTACATACCAACCACAGATTCCCCCCTCTTCCTTCTTCCCACCTCCAAGCCTTCCCCCCAACCCACCCCCTATCCTCACATTTTCCAAGTCAAGCTCTCCTATGGGGAGTCAGGAGAGCCTTACGCACTCAGCTGAGGCACGTCCAAGCCCCTCCCCCCTGCACCAAGGCTATGCAAGGTATCATACCCTACTCACTGGCCTCCAAAAAGCCTGCCCGTGCACCAGGGACAGATCTTGATCACCCTGCCTGGGGGCCCTCCAAATAGTTCAAGCTAAACAACTGTCTCCCATATTCAGAGGGCCTAGTCTAGTCCTATGGGGGTTCCACAGCTATTAGTCCACAGTTCATGGGTTTCCACTAGTGTGGCTGGTCATCTCTGCACGTTTTCCCATCATGATCTCAATGTCCCCTGCCCACAGAATCCCTCCTCTCTCTCATTCATTGGATTCCGTGGAAAGGTTTTTAAAGGCAAGACTATATTTAAATAAGTTTCGTCTTAGACTATTACTGTGGACAATGATTTTGTTCTTATTGCTCTAAAAGCAAACATGACTTTTGTTTTCTCTGCTTCTTTTCCATAATCACTATTTGTTTAATATCTTAAAAAGTGAAGTATTTGAAAGCCAAGTTTAATTAATTTTTCTGAAATTTAATATTCCAAAGATGATTAAAAAATAAGTCATTTAGCCTTGCAAAGAAAGTAAGATGAGTAATAATGTTAATATGTTTTATCTAAAGTCATTACTACAGATATGTAATGTTATCAATTTATATTATTTCTACATATTATGTGAGCATATATACATATTTCTTTCTTTTATTTCTTTTGGTTTCTACATGTGACTCAAAGAAATCATAGTGACTTAAGGAAGTTGTGGTGATACCTGACTGAGTTTTTTAGAGAAGTGGTCATATACCCTGAAGAACTGTAAGAAACGTTGACATTTGTGAACAATTCCTACAAGCCAAGAATACTGCTAAGTGCTAAGTGCTTAATTCAAAATATCTTATTTAATCTCCAGTTTGCATATGAGAACCTGATGGATGAGTGTTTAAGAAATTGTCTAAATGAATGCAGCTAGCAGCAACTATCAGAGACTAAGATATTGACAGATACTTTTATATATTGATAGATGATGAGCAAAAACATGCAATATTTAGAGTGGTTTTTGGCTAGCATAATTCACATGGGTTTTATTGAAAGCAAAGCAAATGTATGGGGGCAAATTTAACATAGCATCCCCATGTTTCAATTAATATATCAACTGTACACATGCATTTATTTGTTTGATTATAACTATGTATTAATTAATAAATATGAGCATGTTTTTTATAGACTGCCTGGTGTCTGCTCGGTTCATGAGTACCTTGTGTTCTTGAGAGCTTGTTAAACAGAGGCAGGAGAGAGATACATGTATGTTTTAGGATAATATTATTTAAAATAATTATCTCATAGGAAAATGGAGATATTCATCTATACATCACTGTCAGCAGAAACCTTTTACTTTTAAGACGTATGCAGAAAACAGCAACACATAGTCAGTGCCATGCCAACATTCCCACCTTCAGCATTTACAGAGTTATACATTGTGCTTATTTGGGGTAGTTTAGTCTCCTTGCTGAAATATTGAGCACTAAACTCTTGATAAGCTTAAAACAAAGATTACTTAGGATCTGCCTTTATTCACGAGAGGTATATAGTAAAAAAGAGGATCCATCTAAAAGTAATGAGAACAGAAAAGGCTGCAAAGAAACACTATTAAGTGAGGCATGAAGTGAAACTATTCCAGCACTCTTGACTAGAGGGCAGATACATATGTATTCAAATGAGATTTCTTTGGGGTTAGAGATTTTTAACAATAGGGTCTGATGATCCAAGCAGGACAGAAGTACTTTATAAAGATTTTCCATCATCAGACCAACTTGAGCTTTGATTTGTCATGAAATTCTCCAATATAACCATCTGTTCTTTTTTTCACCTTCCCTCACAATTATTTTGATTTTCAAGAGGTGAAGGACTCACTGAAAAGCATTGATGAGTGGAAGAGAATTGGGAACCATGTTGTTCAGTGGATAATAGAAATACTCTACAACTGTGAACAAAGTGATAAAAAAAAAAGTTGATCTGAGTATTTCACAGTCTATCTCCATCACATGAGTATGATCAGTGAGTATACTGGCTGGAGAGTGTGACTTTTCTCCTAATCAAATCCAATAACAAGAGTTTTCTGCTTTTTAATACATCCACCACAATGCTGATCATGTGAAGTACCTTCATAGGATATTTGTATATATGAGTAAATGGTTATTCAACACATCAGATAAGATAAAACATGACTTACTCTTAGGTCTAGCAATCTGGGAATAGTGTATGCTTTTGCTCACCGACATTATATTATTATTGGGACATACAACATCACTAAGACAATATCTCATCAGAGGCAAACATTATCTTTTTATTGATCTGACTTAGGACTTCTCAGCTGTTAGTCACAGAGGCTGAGGTTGTAAGGGAGGAAAAGAAAACACAGTATGTAGAGATTATGAGAGATATAGAGAAAACCTTAGAAGGGAAAGGAGAAACACTGAGTAGACCAGATTGAGAAGAAATATTACCAAATGGGTAGAAAGACTAGGAATTTTCAAAGTTAATCTGAGCCTCTCTTTCATGGATGAGATGAATACTCATCATAACTGGTTGTGATGGTTTGAAAGAAAATGGTCCCCATAGGGAATGGCATTATTAGGAGGTGTAGCTTTGTTGGAATAGGTTCAACTTTGTTGGAGGAAATATGTTACTGTGAGGATGGGCTTTGAGGTCTCCTTTGCTCAAGTTGCACTCAGAGTGACACACAGTTGCCTCTGCTGCCTGCAGATCAAGATACAGAACTCTCAGCTCCTTCTCCAGCACCATGTCTGCTTGCATACACTGCCCCCGCCATGATGATAATGGACTACACCTCTGAAACTGCAAGCTAGCCTCAATTAAATATTTTCCTTTATAGGCATTGTCATGGTCATGGTGTCTCTTCACAGCAATAGAAACCCTAAATAAGACACTTGGATGACTTTATAGGACATAGAGGGCTCCTTATGCATGAGTTGGCTGAGTGTATGAGGTCACAAAACAACTTCTGTAGTGTCACAATTGAGTCCCTATGGAGTAAACAGCATTTTTTTTAGGAAGTAACAGGATATGATTTTTAATATGATGCTAGGGGACTAGAAATACCATTTATTTAGTGATATTTAAACTGAAACATTCATATTCCAATAAATCTCAGTACATTTTTGACAGAGCCTGAATGAACTCCTGACACAGACCATGATATCCCAGCACAGAGGCAGATTCAAAAAGCAAGAAAAACAAGTTCTAATATTCATATTTAAAATACTTAGATATATACTCACCCAACAGACAGGAATGGCTCCTTTGATTCAAGCCTATAAAATATGAAAATTTTATTTTAATATAACAATTTGTTATATATTCAAACATTGATTTTGTATGGATGTGGCAAATGTGTTTTACAGCAGTAAAATTTTATATACTTATGTATGCATATATATGTGCCTAATATATATTATGCATCATATATATAATATATGATACATATGCCTAATGTACATGTGTCTTATATTATATGTGCTGTATATATACATATGTATGTGTGTATATGTATATGCCTACCATAGCAAAGCTACATATTATTGTTCTAGTTGGATTCAGGGCAGCTAAATAAACGCAAAGCCTCAGACTTGGCATGCAACTTTTAAAGACAGTATCACAGCGAGAGTGAGAGTCTTATTCTTAGGTATATTCCATAGCCAGTTACTTTTGTTAATAGTGGCAGTTTGATTCTAGAAGTTTTAATATAGCTATCGTTAGTTGTACTGGTGGAGAAATTTATAGTGAATTCAGTGGGATATTGGCTGGGTAATTGATTTCCAGGGGATATACTCTGTACATGTGACAAGGGAGAAGAGGTGCTGTAGTCAGTCATTTGCTAGGGGTAATGTCATGCCATAGATTAGGATCCTTCCTCCCAATATCTAGGTGTCTCCAGTTTCTCTGAAGAGTCCAAGTGTGATATCTAATATGGAAAGGCTGTTTAGTTGTGACATCTCCAGAAACCCACTTTAAAGTCCCTTGCAGTTCACGCTTCTCATCGTGAACAGGTACAGAACTGATTCCAGCTAATTTTCTGATTCCACATGACACTCCACTTGCTTTATAATAGGTCTGTTTTTAGATATGTCTGAATTAACACTCAGGGTGGTTTAATGCAGGTGTGTATTTTTCTTATAAATTTCTTATACAATTATGGACTAAATTAGGCCAATAGCAGCATGTTTTAAGTAAATACTGACATTTCATGTTTAAATGCATGAAAGCCAGAGGACAACCACTGATGTTATTCCTCAGGAGCATTCCATTTCGTTTTTGAGACAAGTTCCATCATTGGCAGAGAACTCAGTGAGCAGACTAGACTGGCAAGCCAAGAAACTCCAGAAACCCTTTTATTTCTGCTTCCTCAGCATTGAGATTACAAGTGTTCCACCATGCCTGACTGTGTTTCTGTTGGTTCCAGGGCCTGACCTCAGAGTTTTATATGTACAAGATGAGCATTTCACTGGACGGGCTATCTTCCCCACCCCTACAAATATTTAATAAATAAGTGATTATAAGAAAATGGTATTAAGCTTAATTATAGATCATTTAAATACTGATCATTAGTTTTATATATTCAGAAAGGTAACTGAAATAAATAACTGCATCAGAATTAGATAGATCATGTCAATAGTTTGTCTCCATTTCCTTTTGTATGTATCAAAACACAAACTGCTGGAAATAAATCTCAGAATATTGTGGACAGAACCTGAATGAACTTCTGCCACAGACCACAGTGCCACAACATGGAGCAGTGTGGTTGATATATTGTACACTCCAATAAACTTATCTGGGGGTCAGAGGACAGAACAGCCAATATATTAAACATAGAGGTTAGGCAGTGGTAGCACACGCCTTTAATCCTATCATTCCAGAGACAGAAATCTATCTGGATCTCTGTGAGTTCAAGGCCACACTGGAAACAGTCAGGCATGGTGACACACACCTTTAATTTCAGCACTTGAGATCTCATGTCTTGCTTGGGAAAGAAAGGTACACGCCTTTAATCCCAGGCAGTGATGGTAGGAAGCAGAAAGGTATATAAGGCCTGAAAACCAGGAACTAGAAGCTTTTACGCTTCGAGGCTTTGAGCAGCATTTCAGCTGAGATCTGTTCATGTGAGGACTCAGAAGCTTTCAGTCTGAGGAAACAAGATCAGCTGAGGAATTGGCGAGGTGAGGTTGGCTGTGGTTTGTTCTGTCTCTCTTATCTTTCAGAATTTACCCCAATACCTGGCTCCATGTATTTCATTTATAAGACCGTTTGGCAATTCATCTACAGAGCAGGATGTGAAAGGCAAGAGCCCTAGCAATTCTCTTGTACAGTCAGTCACCAAGAGAGAGAAGCATGTTAAAACAACAGTCAACACCAAGAGTTTAGAGGTGTGTATTTATGTACCCTTTTCTTTTTGTGAATTTTAAGTGTTTACATTTATACATTTAGGTAAACTAATGACTTTCTTTTATTTGTCTATTATTCTTGAACATTTGTGATATTGATATGCCAACAGACATAGAGGGAAATTGTAAAGTTAAATAAGGACACAGAAGACTGCTTCTTAATTGGACCTGTGTTTTCCATCTAATAACATTGAAAAGCAGAAAACATACAGGTATTAATGGGATTACTTCTCCAAAATTTATCCAATAATTTCAGCCTGCATCAGCTAATGTTTTGAGACTTCATTGTAAGTGTGTGATCTGCTTGTATGAGGTGAAACACTTCAGCTCCCACATCATTCAATAAAAATCTTCATTGATCTGCATTCCTTAAGGATGTCATAGATAACCCAAATAAATGCAAGGCAATCACTATGCATTTACTTGTGATTATCCAAAAGCTAATTTCAGAATTTGTTTGAAATAATGATTATTGATTAAATGTTCTTGTTTTTCTGAAGGTTCCAGATATGCAGCTGTTACATTGAGATATACAAGGTGAATGTTGTCTTGATGCCCTTAGAGGTTACTAACTATGGTTTGATTGTCTAGCTCATTGTCCTTCTTCCTTTACTACTTCAGTCATATGACTATTCTCTTGTAATTGTTAATACTAGTTATCAAATTGGCAGAGTTAAGAATCACTGAGGAGATAAATCTCTGGATATGACTTTTAAGAAGTTTCTAGATTGAGTTGGGGTTGGAGAACTCACCATAAATTTAGATATTATCATTCTGTGGCTTGGGGTCATGGACTGAATAAAAAGGAGAATTTGAGGGCACATTAGCATTCTTCAGTCTCTGCTTCATGACTCCTCATGCAGAGAGAGGGACAAGGTACCTCATGTTCCTGCCATGAGGGACTATACCCTTAAACTATGAGCAAAAGTAAACCTCTTTTTTCTTAATGTGCTATTGTCTAGCATTTTGTCACAGCATCAAGAAAAGCAACCAATACATCTTTCAAATGCTTTGTAAAAAAATTGGAGACAAACTCAGAGTTTTTAAAACAATATTGGATTGAGGGTTTTGATGGTTATTTTACAACTGGGTTTTGTCAACTTTAGACTATAAGTCAAATGCTGTTCACTATGTAATTTTATACATCATAGGCTATGAATTTTTTCAGTTTTAAATGGTAGAACACTTCTAAAGGAAAAATGATATTTTTGTGTCTGGTGAAATTAATATATAATTCCAAATTCAATGTCTTAGAAAGAACTCCTGGGAATATAGCCGGTATGTGATTTACGTATTGTTCAAGGATATGTTTGTGCAATAGGAACACATTAAATAATTTGAGTATAGACTGTGTGTTCTCAGTCTTGTACTGTGGGATGGTCTTTATGTCAAATGTGTTGCTGATTGGTCAATAAATAAATCACTGATTGGCCCGTGGCCAGGCAGGAAGTATAGGCGGGACAAGGAGGAGAATAGAGCTGGGAAGTGGAAGGCTCAGAGGGAGACACTGCCAGCCGCCATCAGGATAAGGAAGATGTAAAGTACCGGTAAGCCACAAGCCACGTGGCAAGGTATAGATTAATAGAAATGGATTAATTTAAGCTGTAAGAACAGTTAGCAAGAAGCCTGCCACGGCCATACAGTTTGTAACCAATATAAGTCTCTGTGTTTACTTGATCGGGTTTGAGCGGCTTGGGACTGGCGGGTGAGAGAGATTTGCCCTGACTGTGGGCCAGGCAGGAAAACTCCAGCTACAAATGGCATCCAACGTGGTGGCAAGAGTTTCCACCTAAAAACTGAGAAAAAGGATTCTAAAACGGAGCTAAAAACAGTTCCTAATTGTCTCTCTCAAATGAGCGGCAGCTGCCGGTTTGAGCTACTGGCGGGTTCCTAGTGTGCGCGCTCGACCTGCCGCCATATGGCGGGAATGAGGCCTCTGCAAGTGGCACATTAAGCTACATTGTGGATTTAGCCTTTGCTAGTACAAAACAAAAAAAGAGGTTTCTGGGCTACACGCTGCTTGGATAAAAGCATAGACCCACGATGGCTCCCAGAGCTGGCGGTAAGCATACCGCCGCCATGTTGGGAAGCTGAGGTGGGCGGAGCCAGCAGCCACAGCACCAGCGCCGTTTCAGGCTTAGAAGGCTGCAGTTCAAAGCAATAGGCTCAAGCTAATATAAAAAAATAAGCCACGTAAAGATGGCTACCACACAAAGAATCTGGATTATGTTCTCTTTGATATTTGTAACTAAAGAAAAACATTTGATTACAAAAGCTATTGAGTTATGCCAAAATGTATATTTTAAAGGTACCTTGACTTCAAAATTTGGATATAAGGATATGTTGCTTTGGAAAGGAGATTCTGCTTTTGTTCCCACAGAAAGCCAGAGGCTATGGATTTGTTCCAGATTAAGACACATCAGGTTTGACCAGCCAAGACCCCCTGAAAGGTCTCCGATTACACCATGGCCCAGATGATCCAACATCCAGAACCGTTTCAAAGCAACTGGCTCAGACGATACAACCTCATGGACTACTCCATAATCCTAAAATATTCTTTGTGTCCCCATAAGATACAGCGCCCCCCTCCAGCAGGAAGTAGTAAGAGAAGCTACGCCCAAATTCCCAAATATACCAAGTTGACTTTGGAGATGTGTAAAGGTTAAAACCTTCCTTTTTAAGAAAAGAAAAGGGGAAGTACTGTGGGATGGTCTTTATGTCAAATGTGTTGCTGATTGGTCAATAAATAAATCACTGATTGGCCCGTGGCCAGGCAGGAAGTATAGGCGGGACAAGGAGGAGAATAGAGCTGGGAAGTGGAAGGCTCAGAGGGAGACACTGCCAGCCGCCATCAGGATAAGGAAGATGTAAAG